TTGTTGATGTTGCTGTTGTTATTATTGTTGTTGCTGTTGTTATTATTATTATTATTATTATTATTACTATTAATATAAAGCATAAGCAAACCAAAGAGGTAACATTTTTACTGTTTTCACTATTTTCTCATTTCAGGTGAACTGGTGCCCGGTGTTCTGGGGTTTTGTCATTCAGTTTGTCTTTGCCTGTTTAACGATGAGGACAAGATTTGGCTATGACGTTTTCGACTGGCTCGGGAAAATAATTCTGGACTTTATCAGTTTCTCTGACTCAGGCTCCAACTTTATATTTGGGAACGACTTTAAATCTAAGGGTTTCGCCCTTGCGGTGAGTTCACTGCGTACTCTTTTCAATTTTTTTAGGAAGGTTGGGTGTTTGCTGTTGTCTCGTACTCAGTGCATTAAATGAAAACTTTTTAAAAGCTAGAGGTCATATCATGGCACTGGACAGATTGATAACAATTAAACAACTCAACTCTGTTTCTCAAACTGCATTGAATTGTCATTCTAAAACAGACCTACACGAACGTTTGAAGTTTAATTTCAGTCGTTCTTGGTCAAGCTCAAGCGAGGTAAAAAAGGGGGAGCAGGTAGATCAAATATCATAATAGGGCTTTGTAAAGTGCGATGTCAGAATTTATAGCCATCTTAGGCAAGATAGGGCGAAATTGTAGAAGGTCTTGAGACACCTCTCCCTGTCCACTCCTGCAAGTCAGCAGCCCTTTCTTGAAATGTTAGAGTATTTTTCTTAGCTTAATGTCTTCAACGGGGACCATGTATTCTATTCTTTAAAATGGCATATATAATATCTATCCGTGCGTGACAATAACAAAACCAAAAGCAACAACAACAACAACAACAACAACAAAAACGACAACAAAAACAATAACAATAACAACAATAACAGTAACAAGGACATCAACAACATTAATATTAACACTACCGCTACGCTTATCTTCAACGATAAAACAAAAAACCACAGAAACAACAACAGCAACAACTACAGCGACAATAACAAGCATAAACAACAACAACTACGATGACAAAAGAATACTATCTTGAATGTTTCAGCTTTACTCGTGGTCTATATAGAGGGTTGTGGTTTGTCCACATCCTTCCAAAAACTCGATCAATCCCCCACCCCCACTGCCTCTTTTAAAAATGAGGTTGTTTCACATGAGATATAATATGCAATTTACGTCCATTTCCGATATCATTTGGCCAAAAGGCTGAACATTGTTAAAATTGTTCTGTTAATAGTCACCCTAACTTCTGTACATCAAGATATGCAGTGAGCAAGAAGCGAAACTTTACAGAACTTCCCCCCTCCCCCTTCCCCCGGCTCCCTTGTTTTTTTTTCAACTTTTAATGTCAACTCATCCCTCCCAGATCTCTGGCACTATTGTGTTCTTCACTACAATGATGTTCGTGTTCACCCATCTGGGGATCACGGACTTCGTCGTCCTCAAGCTGGGCCGGATTATATCTGTGTGCTTGGAGACCGGACCAGTAGAATCCGTCGTTGCCTCTGCGAATATATTCGTCTCCATGGTAAGCACTGACTGGCTCTGACAGTTCTGGTCAACGCTCTTGTAGATTGCAAGGAAATGTGGACTTATAAAGCACTTCTCAAAAGCGGGGGCACAAAAATAGTCGTTTCTTACACAACCCACTGCCTCACACCCTCGGGAAAAGCGTAAGTAAACAAAGAAAAAAGGAAAATAGAGATATCCCTTACCCAAAATGGCCTGTTTGTGTCCGAAAGATACATTACTACAAAATTATAAAAACCGGTGAAATAAAGAAATGTACCCAATGATTGAGCCATGAGATATGAGGTGCGCATAATGTGTACGGGGATAAGGGAGGAGGGAGAAGAGGGAGACAAAGAAAAAACGTGTTGGTTTCCACTAGCATTAGGCCTCTTGTAACACTACAGTCCCTAAAAACACAGCAACCTGATGTATGTTTGTTGGATTTGTTGGGTTTTTTTCATTATTATATAAGTATTTCTCCGCCCCCTCGGCACAATGTAGACCATTTCGGAGAGGGTCTTTGACCATGCCTGTCAAGGCCAACTTGGGTGAGAAGGACGGAACATCCCAACATCACAGTAAAAAGACCAAGATACTTGATAAAAAGTTCTCCCCACTCGAGACTCAAATTCAGGGCTCCTGCATGCGATGACCAAGGACCTAATCGCTACACCACAGAAGCCAATGATGTATGGGACGTTTCCTTTGCCAGAGAACATAGTATAGGAGGTAGTATCTATGAGGAGGGGGTGGGGCTCTCATATCTAACGTATATTTTAGGTTTTATAAGGATTAACTTTGTTATTGAGTTCCCGTAAAGAAAAGCTAATAAAAACTAAAAGTAGTTCAGTTTCAACATGACACACTGTTGTAATATTGTGCCGGAAAATACAAATCATCATCATCATCATCATCATCATCATCATCATCATCATCATCATCATCATCATCATCATCATCATCATCATCATCATCATCATCATTAT